GCCCCTTCCCCCCTCCGGACCCGCCCCACCAGGGACCAGGACCCTCCCCCGACCGCCCTCCCGAGAAGGCCCCGCCCCTGGACCCCCTCCGGACCCGCCCCACCAGGAGACCACGACCCCACCCCGCAGACCCGCCCTCCCGAAGGCCCCGCCCCTGACCCCTCTCCGGACCCCGCCCCGTCCGAAGCCCCCGCCCCCGCTCCGGACTCCGGACCCGCCTCCTTGGCCTAGTGACGCGAGGGGTGGGCAAAAATATAAGCAAATAAGTAAATAAAAATAAACTAAATAACTAAATAGCACCTCTGGGTGCGCCAGCCTGTGGGGTCTCCTCGTGGGGGCCGAAGCTAAAGGGTGTACGCGGCAGTAAACCACGTTTGGTGGAAATGGAAACGGAATTCCAGCCCCTACTGGTGGGCTCAGTGGGGACCCTCCGTGCGCGCGAGAACCGGGCTGGCAGCCTAAGATAGAGAATAAGGAGATGGTAAAAAGGGAGACAAATGTTTTTAAAAATACAAAGTAAAAGAGAAAGGATACATGGGGAGGAACCGAGGGAAGTCTAAGGGAGGCCCTCCAGGGTGTGGGTGGAGTGCTGAGCCCAGCTCTGCAGCTGGGACAAACCTCTTGATCCCTCAGTCTTCCCATCTGTGAAATGGGGAGAAGAATTCTTGCTCCTCCCTTCAGGGGCTCTATAAACGAACCCCAAGCACGTGTGTGCAGCTCCTGGTCTACCGCGTCCTTAATCCCATGCTCCCGGGGCTCTTGCTTCTCTCCCGCTTCTGTCCTAACCCACTCCTGGGTCCTGACACCTATCAGTCCTCCGCACCCAGACCACTTATTCGTGGACGCTGGCCCCGTGCTGCTGCCTACCCCCGCTGCTGGCCCCCTCTGATGTTGTGGTCTCCGTGTCCAGTGCAACCAGAACAAATCCGACTGCTTCTACCAGACCTACTCGTCAGGGGTGGACGCGGTGAGGGAGTGGTACCGCTTCCACTACATCAACATTCTGTCCAGACTGTCCGATACCTCGCCACCCCTGGAGGAGGACCTGCTGGGCAACTTCATCTTTGCCTGCCGCTTCAACCAGGCGTCCTGCAACCAAGCGTGAGTTGTCCTGAGTTGTCCTGCCCGGTTCCTTTCCTGGGTCAGCCCCAGTCCCTGCATGGGCGCTGCCCAGGAAATGCTTGTTGACTAAATAAATGCTTGCCAGCAGGCGAGGGGAAAGCCCAGGCCTGAAGTCCACACCCCTTCCCCGGGGTCACCATGCAGACTCTGCTGCTCCCTGCACTGCTGGGTCTGAGTGAAGCAGCCCCAGATGGATGCCCTGGGAAGGCCGGGGCTTGAGGTCTGGCTGTGAGAAGCCAAGGCCTGCAAGCCTGGGGCTCCATCTTTCTAAGCCCCTTTCCACTGGCAGCAAAGCTCGAGAGGGCCTGGGCGGTCATCTGGGCCCGAGTGGCGCTCCCCAGATGAGGCTCGCAGTAGCGTGGCGGCGTGGCTCGCAGGGAGGAACTCCACCTGAGTTTCCCTCCGGCTCTGTCACTTCCCGGCCACGGGACTGGGCATTTCACATCACTCCGTATAGCCTGTTTATTTGTAAAATGGAGACGAAACAAAACATAAAAAATGAGATTCATTCAATGTTCATTCAACAAATATTCTCCACTGTCTCGGCTCTGTGCCAGTCACTGACCTGGACAGTTGGGACACATCAAAGGGAAAAACCCACATACTCCTTGCCCTTTTGGCACGTGTACTCCAGTGATGATGATGATGATACCCCCTCAAGAGCTGAGTCACGTTCACGAGATAGCAGCTGTGAGGGCGCTTTATAGACTGAAATGAATGGCGGGCCTCATTGCTCCTGTGCTCAGGCAGGTGGAGGGACTTGCCCTGGGGCACAGGGCAGCCCTAGCTGAGGCTGCCACGCTGGCCCTCAGGTGTTCTTTCTGTGAGGACCCCTGTCATAAGGACCTTGCAAAGAGCTAATGGTGGCAGCGGGCTGAGGGCTGAGGGAGGCTCAGCGAAAGGAAGGGCCCCTGTGCCCTGTGGCCCCTCCGGCCCTGCCTTCCCCGTCTGCTCCTTGACTCCCAGGGCTCTCTCCCTGCCTCTGCCTGATGGGGAAGGGCGCCAAGGCAGTGACTCCACTCTACAGGTTGCTAGGGAACGAATGGCCTCAGGGCCAGGTGTCACCTGCTTCTGTCCCCACCTCTCACCCTCACATACACCTCTGCCCAGTACACGACTCTGTAGTCTTGTGTTTGTTTGAGGACAGAAGTGAGACAGTAGCACAGCCAAGCCTGAGCCAGCCCACACCTGCCACCAAGTCTCTCTGTCACCTTGGCACCTGTGGTCTCCGAATGTTTTCATCCTGACCCTCTCTCCCTTTGCCTGCTCCTGGCTCCCCCTCAACAGAAAGGCCACGGTTCATTTTTGTCCTGGCACTTGGGTCTCTTGCTCGCTCAGCTCAGAGCCTCATCATTTCTCACCTGATGGTTGTAACCGCCCCCTAACTTGTCTTTCTGCCCCTAAACCCGCCCAGGAAGCTTCGTATTTCACTGTTCTTACTCCACTTCATATACTGAACTATCCAGTGAGTCCTGTCTAAAATTCTCCCATGTCTCTTACGGCCTTCAGATTCAAGTTGAAGCTCCTTAGCTTGGCCTTCTCACCCCTCTCTTCCCCTATATCCTAAACCCTTTCCCCCTCTCCATAATCTGTCCTTAATAACACTTTCATTGAGATATAATTCACATACCATCCTTTCAATATGTACAATTTAGTGGTTTTTAGTATATTAAGAGTTACGCAATCATCATCACTGCCTAATTCTAGAACATTTCCTCCTGCAGCAGTGTGCCTCTGTGAGTGTGATCTTTCTGGCCCCAGACCTGTCACAGATCTGCTTTGGACTTACCCGTCTGAGACATGCTGAACCGAGAGGCCTCTGGAAAACACGTGGCCCCTTTCTTACCCTGGGATCCCATCTCCCTCCCTCACTCCGTGTTCACCCCGTCCCACCGCTCCCTCCCGAGCCCTGTCCCCTTCCACCTCTGTCTCCTTCACTCACTCGCTCAGCAGCTGTTTGTTAACTATCCCCCGTGTCTCCCTTGTGCAGGAGCTTTGCGGCTAGCCCAGAGCTGACCCGGGATGAGTGACACGGGGCTCCGGTCCTCAAGGAGCTCACAGTCCAAATGGGGAGGCAGATTTAGGGTGTGAGAGGTTAGGGGCGCAAGTCAAGGCCTGTGAGGTCAGCGAGGTCCATGGCCTGGTGGGAGGGCTGGCAGGTAGCTGCCCAGGTCCATTGTCACTGTGTGACCTTTGGCCAGCTGCCTGACCTCCCTGCACCCTAGCTTCCTCTTCTGTGGTGTGGGGACGAGGCTCTCCCAGGCTGTCGTTGGAGTGACTGAGGGAACATGGGTGAAGCTCCCAGCATGTGCCACACACAGCAGGTGATCAGCAAACAGGCAGCTCTGAAGGGCACACATCCTGCAGGAGTTTAGGGGAGTGGCGGTATCCCCCTGCCCCCTCTCCCTGCTCCCCCGACCTCCTCCACTTTGCTCTCTGACCCTCTCCTCTCTCTCCTGCTAAGGAATTACTCTCATTTCCACCACCCGGTGTACGGGAACTGCTACACTTTCAACGACAAGAACAACTCCAACCTCTGGATGTCCTCCATGCCTGGGATCAACAACGGTGAGCAGCTGCCTGTCCCTGCCACGGCTGCCCTCTGCCCCGGCCCACCCACAGTTAGTCACCTTTAGCTCAGCCCCAGAGATGCTGTGCCCTCTCTCCATCCTGGGAGGAGTCCTCTCTGCTCCCTGTCCCCGTGGGAGCCACACAGTGCATTCCGGGCGTGAGAGGAGGCCTGTCCCAAGCCTTTCTCCTGCCCCCAGAATTCAGCCCAGGGTTGCAAAGTCTCTGTGCAGGTCCTCTTGGCCTGACTGCCTGTGGAGTGTTAGACTAGGCATGGGTGTGTGGGGGGTGGGTCTCCATCCCCACCCTTCTCTGAGATCTCTCCAGCTCTGCGTCCTCTGCACCCCAGGTCTGTCCCTGATGCTGCGCACAGAGCAGAATGACTTCATTCCCCTGCTGTCCACGGTGACTGGGGCCAGGGTGATGGTGCACGGGCAGGATGAGCCTGCCTTTATGGACGATGGTGGCTTTAACGTGCGGCCTGGCGTGGAGACCTCCATCAGCATGAGGAAGGCAAGGCTGCTGCCTGGGAGGTCTGGGGGAGCCCAGATTGGAGGGGGGGTGGGAGCCTGGCAGGGAGGGCAGGTGGGGTGGCCTGGAGCCTGTGCGGGTCTGCAGGAGCAGGAGTCAGGGGTGAGGGGGTCACACTGGGGAGTTGGGTCTTGAGGAGGGGCTGGGGTGGGAAATGCCGAGAAGGGGCTCAGGGCATGCTTAGGACCTGTGTCCTTGACGTGAGCAATGGGTAGGCATGGCGGCCTGTGTTGAGGTGGTGAGACAGCGGGTGGGGCTGGCAAGGTGCGAGATACACCTGGGACTGCGGGAAGACAGAAGGTCCAAGCAGAGGCTGGGGCCGCTTGTTCTGACCTCTGACCTCTTGGTGTCTGTGGGTTCTTAGGAAGCCTTGGACAGACTTGGGGGCAATTATGGTGACTGCACCAAGAACGGCAGTGACGTCCCTGTCAAGAACCTTTACCATTCTAAGTACACGCAGCAGGTGAGGGCCGGCTGTTCCTGTGGCCTGCACTGGTTGGTCTGTCAAAGCTGGAGGGTGTGTGTGTCTGTGGGCGTGAGAGGAAGGGGGTGAGGAAAGAGGATGAAGGCTCAGCGTGAGAACTGTTCGTCCTTCCGGCCCCTTCTGGGCTGTGTCAGGCCTGAATCCCCCTCCCTCCCGCAGGTGTGCATCCACTCCTGCTTCCAGGAGAGCATGATCGCGCGGTGCGGCTGCGCCTACATCTTCTACCCGCGGCCCCGGGATGTGGAGTACTGCGACTACAGGAAGCACAATTCCTGGGGTGCGACGCCGGGAGCCCCTGCCCTGCCCCACTGACCCCAGTGCGCCCTGCCCCCAGCTTTCTCCCCTCAGTCCCCTGTCTGGGGCTGGCTTCTGGCTCCGCTGGCCAGGACCAGTTCCCTGCCCCCCCCCAAGCCCCCCTCTTGTTTTTCAGCCCCTGTCTCTGCCTCTGTCAGTTTTCCCGTCCCTCTCTGTCTCTCTGTCTCTGCCCCTCACTCTCAGTGTTTCTTTCTCTCTGTTTTGGCTTTTGTGTGTTTGTCAAAGAATCACCCCATTTAAAAATGCCCACAGGCCAGGCGCGGTGGCTCACGCCTGTAATCCTAGCACTCTGGGAGGCCGAGGAGGGCCGAGGGCGGATTGCTCAAGGTCAGGAGTTCGAAAGTAGCCTGAGCAAGAGCAAGACTCCATCTCTACCATAAATAGAAATAAATTAATTGGCCAACTAATATATATAGAAAAAATGAGCCGGGCATGGTGGCGCATGCCTGTAGTCCCAGCTACTTGGGAGGCTGAGGCAGGAGGATCGCTTGAGCCCAGGAGTTTGAGGTTGCTGTGAGCTAGGCTGACGCCACGGCACTCACTCTAGCCTGGGCAACAAAGCGAGACTCTGTCTGCATGAGGCAGGAAGAGCAGTGAGAGGACCTCCAGCGGGCCTGCACTCTGCCTGCGGCTGCCCCGCTTGGGCCGGGGTGTGAGCGGGCTGGCTCCCTGGGCTGGGTGGGCCACGACATCTTGCTGGGGTGCAGGAAGAAAGTACTGGAAGTTATGTGTGTCTGTGACCTTCCTTCACGTTTCTCATCTTACGTATGTGTTAGAATGAACGTACCGCATCCATTCAATAGAAGAGGTACGTGGTTTGTAAATCAAATACATATATTGGACTTGCTTATTTAAGAATTTTTTTTTTACGTGGAGGAGGACACAGAAAAGTCTGGAGAGCTTATCCTGGCGTAGGAGTAGACAAGTCTCTTTCCTTTCAACTAGAGCTGAGCTACGCAGCGGGGAGGCTGTGTGCCAGGAAGCTGAGAGGGAGAGGAAATCCCAGCAGGAAAGGACAGAGCTGGAGGGTTTGCGTGCTGGGTGCCAGCGTGCTCGCCCACGGCCGGCATCGCGGGGGGAGACTCTCAGACCCCCGCAGGCTGTGGCCTGTCCCACCCGGGGTTTGGAGTCTGTCCAGGCCTTTGCTCTGTCTGTGGTGCTCCTTCTGCCTCCTTCCTTTCCTGGGCTTGCTCTGCGCGGCTCTCTGTCCCGCTGCGCGTCCTAGTCTCGTGCCTTGCTGTCTGAACTCAGAGTTGGGGAAACTCACAGGCCCTGTGGCCTCCGCTCCTTTGCAGGACAGGCAGGATGCGGCAGTGGGGTGGGAGTACTGCCCACGACTCCTCCCTGCCCCCAAGCAATTCTTCCTAAGTTGTGAGTTTGAAGATCTGTGATGAGAAGTGACAATACTGGTTCCTGAGAAGGTGGGAGGGACAGAAGCTGCATTCCCGGGACTGACTGACTGACTGACTGGCTGTGGTTCTTCCCAACTGCAGATCCCCGCCCTGGGGATGCTGGGAGTGGTCGGAAACCTTGGAGGACTTTGGACTGAGTGCTACACGTGGCAATAGTGGCAGAATAACCTCACTTAGAATTTGGGGAATGGAGGAGGAGGGGAATCCATAGTCCCATTATCCATTTTTTTTTTGTTTTTTTTTTTTTGTAATAGCTTTATTGAGATAATTGACATCCTGTACAATTCACCCATTTAAAGTGTACCATTTTATTTTAGTATAATTTTGAGTTTTAGTTTACATTTTAAATAGTCCCAGAGTTGTGCAACCATGGCCACAATCAATTTTAGAAAAGAAACTTGTACACGTTAGCAGTTCCCAAGCCCTGCCCCCTCCACGCTGCCCCCAACCCCCATCAGCCCCTGGCAACCGCCGATGTCTCTGTCTCTATAGACTTGCCTGTCTGGACATGTGGTACAGGTGGAGCCTCACAATATGTGGCTGTCTGTGACTGGTTTCTTCCACTTAGCATATTTTCAGGGTTCATCTGGGTTGTAGCAGTGTCGCCACTGCATTCATTTTTATAGCTGAGTAATACTCCATTGTATGGATACATTTTGTTTACCCACTTCCCAGTTGATGGACATTTGGGTGGTTTGCTCTTTTTGGTTATTGTGGCTAATGCTGTTGTGAACGTTTGTGTACAGGTTTTCTTGTGGATGTATGTTTTCAATTTTCTTGGGCATAGACCTGAGAGTAGAATTGCATGGTCATGCAGTAACTCTATGCTTAACCTTTGTGAGGAGCTGCCAGACCGTTTCCCAAAGTGATCGCACCATTGTACGTTCCCAGCAGTAGTGTATGAAGTTTCTCATTTCTCCACATCCTTGCCAGTTCTGATTATTGTCTTTTTTCATAATAGCCATCCTAATGGGGGTGAAGTGGTATCTCATTGTGGTTTAATCCCTTTATTCTTACACAACAGTTGTTCCCATTTTGCTTTCTGTCTTTTAAGTGTTTGCCATATCCTACATATCTTTACATGGGTGTGTCCTGTTTTGGTTTTTTTTCTTTCTGGTTTAGCTTAATTTCTTAAACACTTTTTGGTACTGCTGCTCATGAGGGAGGCATCATGGTCGTGCTACCTGGTGCTCTTGTAAAGTGGAGCCTCAAGGGTCTTGGGAGACCTCTTGGGTGTGGGTTGCAGAAAATTGGGTGCTCTAGGAGAGCAGGCACCTCTCTGTACCCACAGGCTACTGCTACTATAAGCTTCAGGTTGACTTCTCCTCAGACCGCCTGGGCTGTTTCACCAAGTGTCGGAAGCCATGCAGGTGAGTGTCCCCTTCCCGCAGATACGGGTTGGACAGTGGGCTGCTTGGCAGGGTAGAACACAGGGTACCCGGCTAAGCCTTGGGGGGTTTCCACCCCAGCACTGACTGCCTTTCTTGTCCCCAGTGTGACCAGCTACCAACTCTCTGCTGGTTACTCACGGTGGCCCTCGGTGACATCCCAGGTAAAGGGGGAGGGGTGGGGTGGGGAAAATGTGTGTGCATGTGATGCTGTGGCCTTCTCTGGGTAGTATGAGTATGGGTGTGTTTGCCCTGATCCCATCCCTGTAAGCCCGAAGAATATGGGGGTGACCTTGGTGACACCCCCATTCTTTCCCAGGAATGGGTCTTCCAGATGCTATCCCGACAGAACAATTACACCATCAACAACAAAAGGTCAGTCCTGCCCTGGTCCCATTCCCAGGAAAGGAATCCTTGGGAGGGAAAACAGATCTGGGGAGAGGGATCGATGCGGTTGATTGGAGGATGGTCCCAGACGCTGATTCTCCTCCCTTTCTTCCCACTCTCTCCCCCGTGCCAGAGATGGAGTTGCCAAACTCAACATCTTCTTCAAGGAGCTGAAATACAAAACCAATTCTGAGTCTCCCTCTGTCACGGTATGTTCTGCCTCGTGGAGTCTGTGATTCTCTGGGGGTCTTAGCAGGGAAAACTAGGGGTTGCACCTGTGGGGCCAGAGCATTTGGGCCTCAAAGATAGGGACCAAGGACGAGGGTAGGGGGTCACCGGTGAGGTTGGCATGTTGGAAGAAGGACCTTGGCTGAAGCATGAGGTCTTTGAGGGTGGTGGGAGGGAGGGGTGTGCCAGACGCTGGCAGAAGGCCCTTGAGACCTGCTCCTGGCTGTGGCCCAGCTGCCAGCTCTCTCTGGGTGACACTGGTTAGGAGCTATGTGCTCCCAAGCGAAAGGGTCAGAGGCAAGGAGCCCCGGCTGCTGAGGGGCTGGGAGGGGTGGGCCCGCAGGGAGGAAGGGAGATGGCTTGGCAGGAGGGATGGGGCTCCTCTGCCAGAGCCCACCCAGGTTCCTCTGCCCTGTGGTCATGTGACTCTCTCCCTCACAGATGGTCACCCTCCTGTCCAACCTGGGCAGCCAGTGGAGCCTGTGGTTTGGCTCCTCGGTGCTGTCTGTGGTGGAAATGGCCGAGCTCATCTTCGACCTCCTGGGCATCACGTCCCTCATGCTGCTCCGGAGGTTCCGAAGCCGATACTGGTCTCCAGGCCGAGGGCGCAGGGGTGCTCGGGAGGTGGCCTCCTCTCCACCCTCCTCCTTCCCCTCCCGCTTCTGCCCCCACCCCACGTCCCCGGCCGCGTCCCAGCCCAGCCCTGCTCCCATACCCGCCTTGGCAGCCCCTCCGCCTGCCTACGCCTCCCTGGGCCCCTGCCTGTCCCCAGGGGGCTCAGGCTCTGCAGCGCCCGGCTCCCCGGCCTGTCCCCTGGGGGAGCCCTGAGAGGGGACAGTGCTCCTCCCTCCAAGGCAGGCAGGCTGAAAGATGTTAGGGACTTCCTCTCAGAGCCACCACTGCCTTCGGTGTGGGAGGGAAGCAGGATGCGTGAGGGGCTCCGGAAGTTGCCCAGAGGACAGTGGCCAATGGAGCTGCCCTGAATCTGCTTGGCTCCTGCCCACCCCTTGGTCCTGTCTCCGAACACTCTGATTTCCCCACCCAAGTGCAGACGAGTCTCCTTTTCCCTTGGATCAGCCAAGCCAAACTTGGAACTTTGACAAGGAACTTTCCTAGGAAACGACCGATGACCTGAGCAAAACACAAACAAGGATACACAAAGGCATGCGCAGGTTTCCTACCCAACGGTGGCTAACGCCAGCCCCAGATTGGCCTGGACACACTGCTTTCCAATGACACAGATGTCTGCTCCTCTTCTTGAACTTGGGTGGGGAACCCCACCCAAAAGCCCCCTTTGTTGGTTCTTGGGCAATTCCCCTTCCCTCACTCCCCAGCGCCAGGGCTGGAGCAGACCAATGTAGTAAAGGCTTGGCCATTCTCAGTCGGTCCCAGGATTCCTCTAGCCTTGTACCCCATCCCCCTACAGAGCCATACCCTAGCGCCTCTGCTCTATGGTATGCTCAAGCTATTTCTTCACCATGGAAGCTTCCCAGCTATCTGCTGGAGAACTCCTATGCATCCCTCAGAACCCTGCCCAGACACCATAACTTTTGTGAAGGCTTCTGCCCCAGAATTAATCACTCTCCTCTTCCCTGGGCTCCCATAGCACACCACATAACATATATGGGAGTGGTGATGTCACATTATACTTTCTTGTTCATTTGTGTCTGCCTCCCCACCTAGACTGTGAGCTCCTTGTGGTCAGGGCCTGAGTCTTGTTCATTCATGTATGCTCCAGGTCTAGCCTAGCATCTTGCTTGGAGCAAGTAGGCAGGTGTTCAATAAATGTTTGTTGCACAAAAGCATGTCTGGAGAGCTGGGAGGGATATGGTGAGGGGATGCACGTCCCTGAGTCACTGCCCAAGCTGCTAGGAGGTCCTGGACTGGGGAGAGGGGATAGACTCCCATGCCCCTGGGGTTCCCTGTGGAAGTGATCATGCTTCAGGGGCCTTAGAAGACATGGAATGGTCCTGCAAGGTCCCCTATTTGCGTCTCTGAGCATCTACTCTGTGTCTGTCACCATAGTAGGGTGGAAGGGGTAAGGTAGTGCCCTCCTCTCGGGGGACCTATCTTGTAGTGTTGGGGAGACTTGCCTTCTCCCGTGTCTGAACCTTCTTTTCCTTCCCAACTTTAGTTACCATCATCATTTTTATTTTTATTTTTTGAGACAAGGTCTCGCTCTGTTCCCCAGGCTAGAGTGCAGTGGTGTCGTCATAGCTCACAGCAACCTCAGACTCCTGGGCTCAAGTGATCTTCCTGCCTCAGCCTCCCGAGTGGCTGGGACTGCAGGTGTGCACCACGACACGGGCGTCACTGTCACCGTTGATCCTCCGGCCCGTTTGCTGAGGCCCAGTCACCACCAGCTGCAGTGTGACCCTCATCTGTGGTCCCTGTTAGCTGCCCCGTAGTGGTGGGGGAGGGGAGGCTCAGGCCAGTCTCTTCTGGAAACTTGAAGCCTTCTGTAGTCCCATTTGCACTTCATCACAGAGAGGGGAACGGAGGGAACCCTCCCAGCTTTAATAAGGGACAAACTGAGGTCCAAGGAGAGGCTGAAAGATGGCTGAGTGGAACCCCAATTTTCTGACCCCCAATCTGTGGCCCACGCCAGCTGGATCCCAGAAGTGACCTTTTCTCATTATCTCTGGGGAGTCTTCCCCTGTGGGCTTGCTCTTATTCCTCTTGCTTATGTCTCCCTGTCCTGAAGTGCTGGAGGAGAAAGGGACTCTTGGGGAAAGAGAGGAAAGAGAAGGGACTGGTGACGGGAGCAGGGAGGTGGACGGGGTCATGACCGGGAACGACGTGACGTGACGTGAGCACTGCTGACTTCCCTTTCCGAGACTCAAGCTGATGAGGGGAAAACGGTGTCGGTGTCGCAAGTGTCCTCTGCCAGAGCCCTCAGGTGCAGCCTGCCCGTGGCTGCCCCTGCCACCCTCAGCCTCTCCCTGTCCCCAGCACCTTCTCCCCTGGCTGGGGTGGGAGGTCCTGGGGGACAAGGCCAGATCTGTGGACGACTCCCGACTGTCAGCTGCCCCACCCATGCTCGTTTCTCCTTACCTGCAGGTGTTTCCTGATCTCCACCCCTGTCTGTGGATTACTCCTGGACCCTGGGGTTAGGAGCTGGAATCTGAGTGTTACAGATAAAAGCGTTTCAATTGCCTCATTTTCCTTATCAGGCTCAGTAGGTGAAGTGACTTGCCCAAGTTCATAATTCTCACAGAACCAGTCTTGAACCCAAGGCTCCTTCTGTGACTCACCTCGCCTCCCTCTGACACATGCAGTCTGAAAGCCGGGTGGGGCTAGAGCCCACATCACATGGACTTGGAGTCCAGTGCCCTTTTGGGTTAAGTGTGTGTGTGTGTGCACACGCATGTGTGTGTGTGTGTGTGTTTGTGAGAGAGAGAGAGAGAAACGTGGTGGGGGAGGGAGCTTATCACTATCTGAAACTCTTTTCTTTACCTCTTGCCCCACAAACCCCAAAGGCCAATTCCATCACCCCTAGCCTGCCCCTCTCCTGTTTCTGTCTCTCCCCTTCTCTTTCACCAGTTCTCTACCCCTGGAGGGATGATGGTCACATCGTCACCTCCTCCTGCAAACTAGTTAGCTTTGTGTATTCCTAGATTCATTCACTTCTCAGCATGTTTCCTTTTTTCAAAAAACCAGAATTTTATTGAATAATTTAAAACCACATGTCTCAAAGCTTTAAACTTATTGAGTAAATAAGCATTTATCCTAAAAATTGAAAAAAAATTCTCCTTTGGTGCCAGGCTATGTATGGCTTTGGCAGTTTGCACAGACTATTAGAAATTCCTTGTAACATTAAAAATAGGACATTGAAGTTGTTATTCATTATTAATACAGTGATTAATATGGCTACCACTTGACTGCTTCGCATATGGCAAACACTTGCTAAACACTTTATATGCATTGAGTTATCAAACCAGCTCTGTGAGGGGTACCTGCACCTGTCCCAGTTTTCAGATGAGGAGCCTGAGGCTGCCCCCTATTCTTCATGCTGGAAACTTGCGCTTTATTCCAAAGACCCTGCTTCTTCAAGAGCCTTGCTTCGGGCCCACCCCTGCGGTAGCCGGGTCTCCCTGTGCACTGGTAGTGAGCTCTGTGGTTCAGCTTTAGCCCCCAGTTCTCCAGAAGCTGGAAGATGGGGGGAAGTCAGCTCCCTCAGTGCTGGGGGCACCACAGCCCCATTGTCACCTATAGGTACTCTGCCCTCAGGATGACAGTGGGGAGGCCAGGGAGGTGGCAGTGGGGGGGGGGCCTGGGAGGCCAGCTCCAAGGGAGAGGCCCTAGGACCTCCACCTTCCCTGATCTCCCTGCATTTCTAGCAGCCTGGGCTGCTTGAGGCCCTCGGGCTGGGCTGGGTGTAGGGAAGGTCCTTGTACCCAGAAAGCATGAGTGCAAGTTGGACCCTTGCTGCAGGATTCACTTGGGAGATGTCCTGCACAAATGGGGATGGCATAAAGTACCCAGAGTCAGGGTGTATGGTTTCACTCAAAGGGACGGAAAGAGGTGGCAGTGCAGCTCTCACAGCCCAGGGAGGCCTGGGATTGGAAGTCGGGGTTTGGGGTTCTCTGCTGGCTCTGCCTCCTGCTTGCTTGCCTCAGCTTCCCATCTGTAAAACCAGGGGCTTGTGCACCATATCTGCAGTCATTCTGATTGATGTATCGGAATATCTGGGGAAAGGGCAATGGGAACGCACAGTGACAGCTGATGAAGATGTCTTTATTTCCAAAGCGTTATCAGGGGTGTGGTCTCATTGATCCTCATGGCACCACTTCCCCCATGTAGGTGGGCAGACATTGCTACCTCCACTCAATAAACGAGGAACTGACCAATGTTGCCCGTTGTCCCACAGTTGGCAGCAGAGCAAGATCAGCAGGTGGAGACCAGCCAGGTAGAGACTAGATGAGTACCAGGTGGGGGCATGTGTGGCCAGGGCAGAAAGGCTTGGCACTTACTCTAAGGTTTGGGACAAGTAAATTCCCAAGAAATGGAAGATTAGGTAGACCAGTGTAGACCTCTGGGGTAGAGGGAAGGGGTACTGAGGAACACTGAGTACTGCTATGTCAGAGACTTATCTGTCCTGTCTCAACAAATCCTTATAGCAAGCCCCTGAGACAGGTAATCTCCATTTTGCAAATTGGAAAACAGAGAGGTTAGGTTATGTGTCCAAGAGCACCTAGCTAAAAAGTGGAGCCTTCTGAACTGAACCCCGTAAAGTTGGCTCCAAAACTCTGGGTCTTTCCATTGCTGTTCCATGTGGGCAAGGCCGGTGACGGGGGAGCAGGCAGGGGACTTACTGCACCTGGGTGCCTGGTGGGATGTGGTCGGATCGGTGGGTTGGGGCCACCAGGCGGCTCATCTGGGAGTCGAGTGCCTCTGACTGGGCTACAGAGAGTTAAAGAACCTTGGCCCCCTCCTCCTGCCCGCCTCCTCTGGCCTCCTCCTCTGGCTCTTCCTGTCCCGCTGCTGTTGCAACATCGCCTCTGCCACTCTCTCTCTTCCCGTCCCACCCCCTCTCTCCTCTGCTTTAATTTTCTCTCAGTACTCGGGACTCAGGCCCCAGTTCTGGCCTTTGGGGTTCCAGGTCACTGGGCCTGGGTTGTGGTCTCCACCCCTGAATCTCAACTCCCAACCCCCCAACCCAAGGCACTTGGGACCTCCTGGATGGACCTGAGCTTCCTAGGACGCCCGCTGCCACTGCCGCTGCCGCCGCTGCCACTGCCCTGAGCCCAGATGGGGGAGTGAGAGGCCACAGGTGGCCGGACATGGGCCTCCCCACCGTGCCTGGCCTCCTGCTGCCACTGGTGAGTACCGGGACCAGAGGGAGAGCGGGCTGGTGGGTGAGGTGCCACCTGGTTAGACTCCTTGCTGGGCTGGGCCTGCCCCTGGGCCTGCACTGCCTCAGCAGCGGGGGAAGGGAGAAGCTTGAAAGGGAGAGAGTGAAAGGAAGCCCGGGCCCTGAAGCCATGGAAGTTTGTGGGCTGTCTGCTGTGATGTGGGGGCCCTGGATGGGGCGGATGTGGTGGGCAGGGACAGCACTGGGAGAAGGAAGGCCAGTCCTCTGGAAGCCCAGAGGGTTCGGCATTCCGCGCCCTGCCCAGCTGGCTGGCCCGGAGCGTGTTGGGCATGGGGAGGAGAGGCTGCCTGTGGAACCTGCCCACAAGCCCTGGAGGGCAGAGTTGGAGGGCTAGTGAAGTGGGGAAACCGAGTCCAGGAGAGGGGTGGGTTGGTGGGGCAGGTTTGGGATGCTATGTGTTGGGGGTATCTGGGAGTGGAGTGGGGAACTGGGTGAGGACAGGGCAACCAAGTGGAGAGCGTCCCAGCGCCCTGGCCAGGCCAGGCCTCCTGCCTGGGACCTTCTTCTCCCGTTTGCCTCTGGGCCCGCTGCTGGCAGGTGGCCTCCGTGAGGCTGACCCTTGCTAGGTAGCTAACACCACCCCCATCTGGTCAGTGTCCCTCTCCCTGTCCTCCAGCTCCCCCAGCCCCCACTGACCTAAACATGGGTTCCTTAGTTTCTTATTCTACAGTTCAGTTTGGGGAAGTTGGTAGAGTTGTTTTCGTCACTGGAAAATGTCCCTTTCTCTGGCTTCAGCCTTGTTTCAGTGTATCCTTGATCCTTCTCCGTGTCCTGGACTCAGCCTGTCCGGGTGCCCTGAGCCCACATAGTCAGGTGGATTTTCCCTGCCCGTGTTGGCCGCTGAGGGCTGCGCCTGCCTGCTCCCACCACTCCTTTCTTCCCCAGTCATCTCGAATCCTCTCTCTGTAGTCCCCTTGTGCCTCCTCTCCTCTCTGCTCTGGCCTGTCAGTCCCTAGGCAGCACCTCTGTCTGTCTGTCATGGTCTCACTCTCCTCCTTCTCTCACCTCCTGCCTCCCTAGCCCCACCACCTCTCCCCTCCCCCAGGCCCCCAACACCTGGCTGCCCGGGCATCTGGGACCTCCGGGCATCTGGGACCTCCGTTCTGTCTTTGGGAGTAGATCACCTGGATTCAAGCCTGGCTCCCTTATGTCATAGCTGCATGAGCTTGAGCAGGTTATATAACCCCTCCATGCCTTTGTTTCTTTATCTCTAAAATGGCATCAAGCCAGGCACGGTGGCTCACGCCTGTAATCCTAGCACTCTGGGAGGCCTGAGTGAGACCCTGTCTCTACTAAAAATAGAAAGAAATTAATTGGCCAACTAATATATACAGAAAAAAAAATTAGCTGGGCATGGTGGCGCATGCCTGTAGTCCCAGCCACTTGGGAGGCTGAGGCAGGAGGATTGCTTGAGCCCAGGAGTTTGAGGTTGCTGTGAGCTAGGCTGATGCCATGGCACTCACTCTAGCCTGGGCAACAAAGCAAGACCCTGTCTCAAAAAAAAAAAAAAATAAATAAATAATAAAATAAAATGGACATCATATTCTGTTGTTCCAAAGATTAAATAGATTGATACATGTTAAGTATTCATTCAGTTTATTAAGTGCCTACGCTGGGGTAGACATTGTTAGGGGCTGGTATTACAGCAGTGAGCAAGATCCCTGCTCAGAGAGTTTACAGGCCATAGGGAAGTAGGGGACAGCGAACAGAAAGCACTCAGTAAATGGTTAGCCTTTATATTGTTGTTAGCAATAGTCACAGTGGTAATTCCTGGGTGGCTACCTGTGTTTGGAACGCAGAGGGTAAAGGTAGCTTGAACAGGCAAAGGACAGTGGCTGGGGACTGGAGTGCTTCAGCCTAGGTGGGGATATGACTCCTAAGGGACAGAGTCTGGCCTGGAGCTGGGCGTGGGGAGAACAGGGGAAGGTAGCGTCTGGATAAGGCTGTCCAGGAGGTTTTCAGGTTTTCGCCATCCAGCGGGTGATACCCAGCACACGATGTGCGTGTTGGGGGAGTGGGAGGTGGTGGGGGGAGTAGAGAAGAATGATACAGGAGAGAGTATGACATAGCAAATAGGATTTTGCTGCTTTCAAAGAACTTACAGTCTAGGAACCAAGACAGCATACGGCAAAAAATGATTTCAGAACAATCTGGAGGAGAATATCTGCAAATGCATTGTGGGCCAGGTGCAGTGGCTCAGGCCTGTAATCCCAGCACTTTGGGAGGCTGAGATGGGAGGATCACTTGAGGCCAGGAGTTCAAGACCAGCCTGAGCAACATCGCGAGACCCTTTCTCTATAAAACAGAAAAATTAGCTGGGTGTGGCGGTGTGCTCCACTAGTTCCAGCTACTTGGGAGGCTGAGGCAGGAGGATGGCTTGAGCCCAGGAGTTTGAGGTTGCTGTGAGCTACAGTGATGCCACTGTCCTCTGGTCTGGGCAACAGAGTGAGATTCTGTCTCAAGGAAAAAAAAAAAAAGAAAGACAAGGAAAAGCCTTGTGGTGTGATGTCCTGGAGCCTAACAGATCTTAGCTCCAGCGCTCATCTCCAGCAAATCCAGGCTGGAGATGCTGTTTCAGGTGACCTTAGCCATGAGCCCAGAGCACTCCCTGCATAGATCTTAGAGATCTTAGGGCCTACAAATGACTGTCTTTGACCTAAATGAGAACGCTTGAGAGCACAGTGTGTGTGTTATCCATCTGGCATCCCCAGCACCCATATGGGACCTGGCACTTTGACCGTGCCCTTAACTATTTGTTGAATGAAATAAGGAACTTGGTTAGATGACATGAAGAAGGGAAAGCCTCATAGAAGAGTGGATTTGGAACTGACATCTGAAGTCACTGCCTGGCAGGAAGGCTAGAAAGGAGGGAGGCAGAAGAGAAGAGAGACTGGTTTGAGGGAGAGGAAAGGAATGCAGAGATGGGTTTTGTGTTGACCTGTGGGGGTGGCAGGAAGCAAAGCACCTTGGCTGGAGTGGAAAGATCATGTTGAGGAACACTAAGAAATGGGAATGGGAAAATTGGCGGGGGTGGAGAAAGAATCTTGAATATGGTCCCAGGTAGTGGAATTCATTCATTAATTCACTCAGAAACTATTCTCTGAGTGCCTGCTCTGTGCCTGGACTGTGTCCAGGACAGAAAGGAGCTATCTCTGTAAGTGCTCATTCAGGTCGTTTCCATGACCCATGAAAATGCTGTTTGAAGTCAGGGCCTGGAGATGGAGAGGAAGATTCACACACCTGTGGGTGCAAGTCGAAGCCTGAATGCAGATAAGAAAGTATGTAGGATGGATTGGAACAGGAAGGAGTCTGGAAGGCAGTTGCAATATTGCAGGTGTGAGGTAACCCAGGGATGTGGAAGCTGAGAGATCACAGGGGAAGGACTGGCAAGATGAACTGGCAGAGAGGTTGGCTCTGAGGAGAGAGGGTGGCAAAAGTCTGGTATTGAGCTGAGCTCCCATAGCTTGAGCCTGTAGTCCCAGCTACCTGGGAGGCTGAGGCGGGAGGATCATTTGAGACCAGGAATTTGAGGCCAGCCTGGGCAACACAGCAAGACTCCGTCTCCAAAGAAAAGAAAAAAAGATATGCTTTGGTGTGGATTTTTAATATTAAAAAAAGAAGTACCCCATAATATGCTGAAAAAAAAAAAAAAGAAGTAAAGTTCAAGAAAAAAGGTCTTGGTGTTGGTGCTGAGAAGTTGGTGGTGTGACATTTGTCTGGGCGAGGAGGTTGATCAATTCTGTTTGGGACGTGCCGAGGGTCCGGGGACTAGCCACCTGGAAGTGTGCATCACAGAGCCCTCACGCTGCGTTCTGCCTTGCTCCCAAGCTGTGCTGCCTTCACTCCTCTGTGGCTTCCAACAGGAGGGCAGCACACGCCAGAGTCTTCAGAAGGGCATGTGCGTGTATGTGCATGTGTGTGGGGAGGGGGATAGTTTGAAAACTCTTCTCTGGAGATAAATGTACTCCTGCCGGGCCTGGTGTGGGGCAGGGGAGGGGCGTGCTGTCCCCACCTCTCCCTTTGGGAATCATTGGCTTCCTCTGGAGTGGAAGACAGGTCAGTCATTAGATCCATCAGTCAAATCATATACATTTTTTAAGAGGTGGGGTCTCGCTATGTTGCCCAGGCTGGAATGCAGTGGCTTTTCTTAGGTGTGATCATGACTTACTGTAGCCTGGAACTCCTGGGCTCAAGCCACTCTCCTGCTTCAGCCTCCAGAGTAGCAGGGACTACAGGTGTGGGCCACCATGCCCAGCTAAATCAATTCGTGTTTATCTGCTCCTTCAGTTCTGGAGGCCTGGTTCTGGGTGCTGAGAGGAGACCAGGGAAGGATGAGACGCTGTCAGACCAAGACACTCTCCGATCTCTCATCTCCTAGAGTTCATGGTCAACTTGGGGAGATCATATCTACTCACCCAAAATAACCAAATCATGATAACAGCCCAAAATAGACAGGGTCAATGCATGTCATTCAAGTTCACCCAAGGCTGAGCCTTCTAATGAGCTTGGGGGAAGGGCGCCATCACTGGAGGGCGTCCTGGGAGGGGGTGGGGGCTCGGCTGGGCCCTTGAGGAGAGGCCGTCCTGAGCTGCCCCAAGATCTCGACATTAAATGAGCTAACACATTTTAATGTAGTGAACACATTCATGCAGGGAAGGGAACAGCTAAGCGGGTCCATGCGAGGTGGCTGGGTCAGGGTTAGACCACAGGGTCGTCTCAGCTTCTCCAACCCACTCGGCAGCCCCAGCACAGGAAGTCACACTTTAAAGCCTCCCGTGACGGAAGTTGTGGGGGAGTTGGAGGGGTGCTGGGCCACCCCCTCAACTGTCTCTCCACAGGCACCCCTGGCTTCCTGCCCTTCCTTTGCTCCAGGCTGTGGTCTGGGCTCCAGAGCTCACCTCCTGTTTCTGCTGGTCTGCTGCACAATGCCGCCCTCCCACCCTGGTGCCCACTGGTGGGGAGCCGAGGGCCCTGGCTCCTAGGGGTCCCAGAGGGCTGGGGAACAGCGCTGGCCCCAGCTGACAGCCCTCTTGCCTGCCCTGTCATTCCTGGAAGTGGATGTTCAGGGCTTTGGAGCTTTTCCTGTGCTGCAGCGGGCCTGGGGGAGGGCGGTGGAGACTCAGAACTGGCCTTATTTCCTAAGGATCTCTGGGGACCCCAGGGAGGCCCTCACACCAGCTAGGCTGTGGGAATGCGCTGAACCCCGGGTGGGAGGGCAAACCCCGAGTGGGAAGGGTGGGAGGGCGACCTTGGTTTGCTTCCTTCTGGAACTGGGGAGAGCTGGGGGCTGGGGGAGAGCCCAGGGAGGGGGTTAGCAGAGGGAGACTTGCTGAACAGGAGGAGGGGCCAGGCGGGCTGTTCTAAAGGAAGGATGCTGTGGGGCGAGGAGCTGAGAGGCCCTCAGGGAGGGGTGGGTACTGACTTGGCAGGCGGAAGCCAGGGTCGAAGCCAGGGTCGAGGGAGACTTCCCTTTGGGATGGAGCGGGGAGAGGAAGGCATTTCCCGGAATATGAAATATGTGGGCCTAGTGGGACAGGGGTCTGTGTCCACCGCCTGGCTCTTTTAGGGGGGAGGGAGTGGAAAGGGGCTCTGAGAGGGGATGGTAGGAGGGACTGGCCCACAGGAGGAAGGGATCAGATGGGGTCCCACTGCTGGCTGGGCCCTTCTGCCTTTCTGCTGACTCATGACCCTTGAGGAGTGGGGGAAGCTGCTAGTTCCCGCTCCCTCCCTGAGATCTCCCTCCCTCTGGCTTGAGTCACTGGGCGGGGCTGCTGGGAAAAGATTTCCCTTTCCCGGATCTGACTTAACCCCCAAAGTGCTGGAGAGGGAGGGGACCACGTGGCCTGAGAAAGCCTCTGTCCCCACCTCCCTGCAGGGAGGCTGTCCCTCACTGGTCAGAGGCCCCTGAAAATCCCCCTCCAAGGCTGTCCTGCAACTGGAGCCCCCCAGTTCTTCCTGACTCTGTCTCTACCTGTTGGCTTTGCTCCAAGCTGCCTGGAGAGGATTCAAAGTGCCAATGACCTTAGGTGCTCCAAGCTCTTCTTCAGGGAAAGGAACCACACTTTCAGGATTGGGATGTTCTTCCCATAATCACCTCAAACCTTCCTGTTGCCCTGGAAGCCCCAGTCCTGTTCTCAGGGGAGGTAGCACGGAGCTGGCTGGCGTGGGCTGGGGAAGGTCGTGCCTTCAGCGCGGGGGAGCACACCCTGCCCGCGGGACTGCTTGCTGCTCCTTCTGTGTGCAGCTTCCCTTGTTTGTGGCTGAGGCTGGGGCTCCTGTGCCTGCACAGCTGCAGCTGCAGCGGCTCGCAGCGGGTGACTCAGGGCGAGACCAGCCTGCCTGTCCTCCTGGGCTGCCTGGCCTTCCTTTCCTGCTCTGGAGTTCTGTGATCTGATTAGTCTGTTGCTCCCCAGTGTTGAAATCTTTGAGGACATCCTCTTATCCTTACATAAAGTGGCTCTTCTAGCAGAGAGAGAGAGAAAAAAAAAATCAAGACCTAGGGAAAACCAGAAATGAAGCTGGCAGAGATCAAAGTCTGAGTTAGGGCCCAGTGCGGTGGTTCATGCCTGTAACCTGAGCACTCTGGGAGGCCAAGGCAGGTGGATTGCTCAAGGTCAGGAGTTCGAAACTACCCTGAGCAAGAGCGAGACCCCGTCTCTACTATAAATAGAAAGAAATTAATTGGCCAACTGATATATATAGAAAAAATTAGCCGGGCATGGTGGCGCATGCCTGTAGTCCCAGCTACTTGGGAGGCTGAGGCAGTAGGATTGCTTGAGCCCAGGAGTGTGAGGTTGCTGTGAGCTAGGCTGATGCCACGGCACTCACTAGCCTCACCCAACAAAGCAAGACTCTGTCTCAAAAAAAAAAAAAAGTCTGAGTTGGAGCTAAATAGGTGCTGAAGCCAGGCCTGGGCAAGCCATTTAGCTGTTGTGGGCTTGGCCGGAAGCTGTGAAACATGCCTTCCAGAATGCCCTGGGCTGCAGAGAGCTTCAGGCCTCTCTGGCACAACCCATCTCTGATCTGTAGGTCATTTGCGCCATGTCACCAGCCCCTGCCAGCTCTAGCTGCGTGTGGCCTGCCTGCTTTTGCCCTCTCCTGCCCCCACCTCAACTTTGTCACCCACCTACTCCATCTGGGATCCCTGAACTCTCCCTTTTACTCCCCTCCCCATTTGCCCTTGCCAACCTGGGGTGTCTATGTAAATTTTGCAGTGGAAGGGGCTGGGGTACAGGGTTTGAGGGCAGGATCCGGAGGAAGGTTTGATACAAATGGGTAAAGAAACTCTTCCTTTTGCTCCTTCCCACTCCCCAGAATGGTGCCCACAGGAACCTCAATCTGAGTTTTTCGGAAAAGTGTTTAGTGGTAGAACATAACCAGAGGCTCGCACAGATCCTAGCTGGGAAGCCAGCGCTCGGGTGGAGAAACACCAACCCGACCTTTAAGGCTGTATGTTGGAAGAAAGGGCCATAATCGAAGTCACCTGCCAGTGCCCAGTGGAAGAAGCAACCCTTGAACATCCAGCACTGTTAGCTGCGAGGGGAGCTCGGAGAGAGGGGAAACGCAGCGGGCCCGGGGCCCAGCGGCCTCGGACACCTGGAGAAGAAGCACCAGGTCGTGGTCTGAGTTTCAAGGAAGAACTCCGAACTCAGAGAGCAGGGTGGCCTGCGGAGGGTGCGTCACTGAGGAAGGACTCGAGCTGGGGAAGTTTTAGCTTTGCTGCCTTTGGGACCCCACCCCTGCCTCTCCTGATGGTGTCCCCTCTCCCTGGTTCTTCCCCAGGTGCTCCTGGCTCTGTTGGTGGGAATCCACCCCTCGGGGGTCATTGGACTGGTCCCTCACCTCGGAGACCGGGAGAAGAGAGATAGTCTGTGTCCCCAGGGCAAATATAGCCACCCTCGTAATAATTCCATCTGCTGTACCAAGTGCCACAAAGGTAAGAGGAAGCAGAAACCGCGGATGCCCTGGGCTGTGGGCCCTGATTCTCCCTTCGGTTGTTCCAGATGTGGTTTCCTGACTTTGCCGCCTCTCCTGGGCTGAGGTTTTCTCCCTCCTTCTCCTAGAGGCTCAGGGAGTTGGTTCTCCCCAGTGTGGGGCTCCTTCCCTGAGCTCTCACCTGAGCCCACCCTGCTCCCTGATTCACAGGAACCTACCTGCACGATGACTGTCCAGGCCCAGGGCGGGACACGGACTGCAGGGAGTGTGAAGACGGCTCCTTCACCGCGTCAGAGAACCACCTTCGACACTGCCTCAGCTGCTCCAAGTGCCGGAAGGGTGGGTGTGCGCGGTCTGGAGGGTCAGGCGGGTCTTGGGGGGTGTGCAGATCTGTGCATGTGTGGGGCATCGTGCTACACTGTGTGTGCTGCAGAGACACCCGCGGTGGGGGCGGACGGGGGGATACAGGGGAAAGGCAAGTGGAGTGAATGTGGAAAGGGGCGCGCAGGACTCACACCCCATCTCTCCTCACCAGAAATGGGCCAGGTGGAGCTTTCTCCCTGCACTGTGGACCGGGACACCGTGTGTGGCTGCAGGAGAAACCAGTACCGGAGGACTTACGGGAATTCCAGGAGTGAAAGCCTTTTCCAGTGCCTCAACTGCAGCCTCTGCCTCAACGGCACCGTGCATCTGCCCTGTGAGCACGGCTCTCCTCGCCCCTGGGTGGGCCCGGCTCTCAGGAGGAAGGTCTCCTCGAGAGGCAGCACTCCGGGCCCTTCCCCCTCCTGCCCCTCCCTTCCTCAGTCCTTTAGCTGGGCTGCACTTCTCTCCCCAGGCCAGGAGAGACAGAACACCGTGTGCACCTGCCACGCAGGGTTCTTCCTGAGAGGAGACGAGTGTGTCCCCTGTAGCAAGTGAGTGTCTCTGCCAGCTTCTGGGCACTGCATGGGCGAGGGGCGGGACGAGGCGGCTGTGGCCAAGAGCAGGGCAAAGGAAACACCCCAGGGTGCTCAGGCACCTACTGGCTGTCTGAGTGGGAGACCCTTCATTAAGATACCAGACAGTCTCTCCCCCTCCCCCTCAACTTGTTCCTCAAATCTTAAGAAGTCTTTGGGGACTAAAGATAACACCCGAGGACCTGCAGTCCTTCTAACTTAGATATTCAGATTTTTGGGCAACAGGGTCTAATATAGCTCATTGATTCTAGGACACACACTTTCACATCTCTGAAATGAGACTGCATCTTCCAACAATTGATGATCTGTCATGGTTTAATTGGCAGCTTTGTGTGTGTCTATGTGGTATGTAAACAGCGGTGCCTTTTGTTTTGAAGGCCTCTGAGGTTGGATGGCTATTTCCTCCCCAGACCCTTGGCCAGGCCTCCTTCGGGGTCTGCACAGGCTGTTCTTGCACATTCACTTGCAAAGAAGAGACTCTGAGGGTCCTAGAGGTGAACTGACCTGGTTTGAAGGCCAGCCTAGCCACTGTGGGATCTTGGGCAAGTTTCTCAACATCTCTGAGCCTTATTATTCTTACTTTTAAAGTAAGGATAGTGGGCCGGGCGCGGTGGCTCACGCCTGTAATCCGAGCACTCTGGGAGGCCGAGGCGGGAGGATTGCTCGAGGTCAGGAGTTCAAAACCAGCCTGAGCAAGAGCAAGACCCCGTCTCTACTATAAATAGAAAGAAATTAATTGGCCAACTTATATAGAAAAAATTAGCCGGGCTTGGTGGCGCATGCCTGTAGTCCCAGCTACTCGGGAGGCTGAGGCAGGAGGATTGCTAGAGCCCAGGAGTTTGAGGTTGCTGTGAGCTAGGCTGAGGCCACAGCACTCACTCTAGCCTGGACAACAAAGCGAGACTCTGTCTTAAAAAAAAAAAAAGAAAAGAAAGTAAGGATAGTGACATTCATTTGGTGAAGTTTTGAGAACCACAAAAAATACTTACAAAAGTGTCTGACACAAAGCTGTTTATTTTGTTTTTTCCACTTAGCTTCATTTCTACTTGAAAGTGCTTTTACATCCATCCCATGTGGTTCTCTTCATGAACTTGGGAGGTGGGCAGAAGTGCCCCTCTCTGCTTTCAGATTGCTGCTGTGAACTCACCCTCTCAAGGTCCTTCCAGCCACAGCGCCCCCCCTCCCCCAGCATGTAGTTCTCATCCCACATACTGCCTAGTGACAGCTCCCAACTGGGGAAGATGGGCTGGTTCCAGAATGTTCTCCTGCTGTCCCTAGTGATATGTATTTTTACTAATAACATTTTCACATGCATGTTTGACCCCTCCCCAAAGTCAGGTACTGAAACTAGCAGTGTCATTTGAGAAAAAGCCCTTTAACCTCTTTGCCAACAGGATTCTCATCAGTAGGCAATGATAAAATAATTCAATAACAGCTGCCATTTATAGAACACTTACTATGTCAGGCATAAGAATCTTACTGAATGATCTTTGTTGTGCTGATGAGAAAACTAAGGCTTAGGGGTTAAATGCCTTGCTTAGAGCCATACTGCTAGCTAATGAATGGGCTGAAATTTTTTCCATGACTTGACCCCTTTTAACTTTTTTCTATTATAGCCTTTTAAAAAGTCCTTCCAGGCCGGGAGTGGTGGCTCACGCCTGTAAACCTAGCACTCTGGGAGGCCAAGGCAGGTGGATTGTTTGAGCTCATGAGTTCGAGACCAGCCTGAGCAAGAGCGAGACCCCGTCTCTACTAAAAAAATAGGAAGAAATTAGCTGGATGACTAAAAACATATATATAAAAATTAGCCGGGCATGGTGGCACATGCCTGTAGTCCCACCTATTTGGGAGGTTGAGGCAGGAGGATTGCTTGAGACCAGGAGTTTGAGGTTGCTGTGAGCTAGGCTGATGCCACGGTACTCTAGCTGGGGCGATAGAGGGAGACTCTGTCTCCAAGAAAAAAAAAAAAGGTCCTTCCAATTCTAAAATTAAATGATTAACTGTGTTTCATTTTCTTCTGCATTATTTCCTGAGAGGTTAAATTTCATTATATTGAGAGACAGTAAAAACATTTGTAAAGCAAAGGATGTCCAATAATCTGTGGGTTTTTTCTGTGTTCCTCCAGTGGTAGGGCTTCTGCTCACCAATGCCATCTCTTCTTTTAGCTGTAAGAAAAACCTGGAGTGCACGAAGTTGTGCCTACCCCCAGCTCAGAATGTTACGGGCCGTCAGGACGCAGGTGAGGAAAAATGCCTGGGTGCCTGTCCCGCCGACACCCTGCCTCACCACCCAGCCCTGTCCTCTGACGGCCATCTGCTTGGTCTCCAGGCACCACAGTGCTGTTGCCTCTGGTGATCTTCTTTGGTCTTTGCCTGTTGTCCCTCCTCTTCATCGGTTTAATGTGCCGCTACCCGCGGTGGAAGCCCAAGCTCTACGGCATTAGTGAGTGGGGCCCTTGGGAGGGGAAAGGTGCTGTGGGAATGTGGGAGGAGGCGGGTGGGTGAGGTGCATACCGTGGAGGGAGGTGAGGAGGGTCCCCTTAGTTTCCTGCTGAGGACCCTGTGGGTGGGAGGTGGCTTGGACAGCTGGTGAGAAGTCATGCTGCATCAGTAGTTCTCTTGTCCCTGGGGCCACATAGGCTCTGAGGCATGTCACCACATGTCCCCATTGCCAGCCCCAGTACCCCGTGCCAGGGCTGAAAAGGGAAATGAAATTTACCATGTCTTGCTTTTTTCCCCTTCCCCCTCAGTTTGTGGAAAATCGACACCTGAAAAAGAGGTAAGATGAAACCAGGCACCTGGCCCAAGTCCCTCTGCCTGTTCCTTATAATCTTGTAATACCCAAGTCGCTTGGAATTACCCTTCATCTCTGCAGCTCCCCGAATTCCCTCTAACCCCAACCTCCGCTTCCCCCCACTAATGCTGTGCTTTCTCTCTTTCAGGGGGAGCTTGAAGGAATTACTACTAAGCCCCTAGCCTCAGCCCCGGGCTTCAGTCCTACCCCGGGCTTCAGTCCCACCCCGGGCTTCAGTCCCACCCCGGGCTTCAGTCCCGCCCCTGGCTTCACTCCCATCCCCGCCACCTTCATCTCCAGCTCCACCTTCACCCCTAGTGACTATTCCAACTTCGCGGCTGCGTCGTTCCCCAAAGAGGTGGCCCCACCCCACTTGGGGGCTGACCCCATCCTCGCCCCCACCCTCGCCCCCACCCCCATCCCCGCGCCGCTTCAGAAGCGGGAGGACAGCGCGCAGGCGCCGCGCGCAGACGGTGAGTTCCCCGCACCTACGCGCTGGGGGCGCGGGCGGAGGGTGCGGGGTGGGGTGCGGCCGCCGCCCGCCGCTCACCAAGCGCGTCCTCCGCAGCCGATCCCGCGACGCTGTATGCCGTGGTGGACGGCGTGCCCCCGTCGCGCTGGAAGGAGTTCGTGCGGCGCCTGGGGCTGAGCGAGCACGAGATCGAGCGGCTGGAGATGCAGCACGGGCGCTGCCTGCGCGAGGCGCACTACAGCATGCTGGCGGCCTGGCGGCGGCGCACGCCGCGGCGCGAGGCCACGCTGCAGCTGCTGGGCGGCGTGCTCTGCGACATGGACCTGCGCGGCTGCCTGGAGGAAATCGAGGAGGCGCTGTGCGGCCCGGCCTCCCTGTCGCCCGCGCCCCGCCTCCCCCGGTGAGGCACGGCCCCAGGGGCGGCCGGAAGGACGATCCTGCCGGATGTCCTCGGGACCCTGTTTTTTCCTGGAGAGGAAGACTCGGAGGGGCAGGCAGGAGCCGGCAGCCGCTTACTTGGCGCCACCCCGCGGTGTACATAGCTTTTTCCAGCTGCCGAGCTCCGCCGCGTCGGCGGGTGCGCGGTGCGCCGCGGGCCGCGGGTGCGGGAGGCGGAGCGTGCCAGCGGCCCGAGCGCGTGGTTGCGGGGACAAGGGGCGCTACGCCTCACACCCATCTTGAGGGCCCAGCAAGGCTGCTGGGGGGGACCCTGGCTAGTCCCTGAACCTTTTTCACAGTATATAAGCAATCTTTTTTTTTTTTTTTTAAATCAGTTATGTTACACTAATAGAAACTTGGCACCCCTTTGGCCCTTGCCTGGACAAGCACAGAACAAGCCGAACTGTCCTAGGGCGGGGGCGAGCACGGAACAATGGGGCCGGGCTGGAGCTGTGGACTTTTGTAAATACACTAAAACTCTGGAATTAAAGCTCTGTCCCTGGAGCGAGCCGTCTGTCGATGGGGACTGGGGCAGAGGCCTGGATTCTGAGCGGTGGGATGGGAAGAGCCCTGAGCCCCGAGCCCTGGGCAGGTAGGCCACCACCAACATGCCAGCTGAGAGAGGTGGCCCCTGGGAACCCAGGTTCTCGTTTTTCCCACCCTCATCCCACACTGACTGGGCAGTTATTTTTATGCACAACTTTATGTGGGGCTCAGAGGTGTCTATGGTACATAAATTTACAGTTCTTGATTCCCAAAGTCTGGTGCAGGACACAGGGTGCCTGGGCCAGGCTTCTTGGTGGGAAATATGGCCTTTGAGGTAGAGTCTGGGGTGGGGGTGGTGACCAGCACTCTTGTGGGGTGATTTCTTCTGGGAGAAAAGCTGGAGGTCCTCAGCGTTCCTCACACCTCTCTGAAAAGACAGGAGGTAGGTGTTAGGCGAAGGGCGACAGCAACAAGGGAGAGACAGACGGACGCCGAGGGCCCTCCCCTGCCTTGGCCCCACTCTGGCATAGCCCTCCTTCACTGTCCCCCAGACAGCCGCCCTCTTACCCCCTCCTGCGCCAGTTTCCCTTCCGCACTTACGACGTGGACAGGGGGGTGTCCAGCTGTATGATGTGGGGCCCCCGCATCCTCTGCAGCTGGGCCCAGGTCAGCTTCCGAGGCCTGCTGTCCCTGGGCTCTGGGGCGCCCTCGATCCTCTGGCTGGCCAGCTCCTCGCGGATCTCTCTGAGCATGTCCTCTCGGAGCACGTCCAACTCCTCAGCCCGCAGCGGGTGTGGGGACGGGGTGCGGCGGGGTGCCAGGAAGAGAGGCCCCTCTTCTTCCTCCTCCCCTGAGGACTCCCAGGGGCTTTCCCCAGCAGAGTCAGTGTGGGTTGGGGAGCGGGGGAGCTGCCCCCGAAGCCGGGCCCGGTGCAGGGTTTCCACGACCACGTTCCCTCCCGCCGAGGTCCCTTCCTCCTCAGACCAGGCCGGTGCGTCTACCCTGGAAAGGCTGCCTCCTCTTCGCATCCCTTCTGGCAGTTCGGGCGCACTTCGGCGTTGAAGAGCTTGGGGGTCAGGAGGTTGGGGGCGCAAAGGAACATCTCGGAGGTCCAAGGTGGAGAAGGTGAGGCGAGGGTCCCGCCGAAGGGCCCCCTGGCGTAGACGGCTCAGCGGGGGGTGGGACCCCTTGGGGGAGCCTGGGATCAGAGTGCCGTAGCCAGAGTCTGAGGCATCGTCTGGTACGGAGGGAGTGTCTTCATCTGTGTCTTGCGTCACCATCAGGTGGGGGATGATAGCCGAGAACACGGAAGTCCTACAATTAACAGCAAATAGTGTTAGATGCTTCAGGTTCAAGTTCAAGTCCAGAAAGTCTCCCTTCCCTGTATCTCCTTCACATTGCCCTGGGATTGCTGTTCTCATCTGGCCGGCTACACTGCAAGCCCCTAGAAGAGCGCAGGCTGCCTCTATGCCATTTTGTCTATAGCACCTGCGCCAGGGCCTTCTATCAGGCAGCTGGGCATTTGCCGAGTTGGTTCCTGAGCTCCCCTGAGGGCAGCCCCCAAGACAGATTCTTTGCTCCTTAACCATCCTGCTAAGCAGCTGTGTTATCCTGGATGAACTGCTCACGCTGGGGTCTGGACTAGCTGGGTCCCGGCAGCTCTCACACTCCACAGGTCCATAACCGCCTTCGCTGTCCAGCCTGCTCCTCAGGGAGGCCACGTGGCCCGCTAGGCCCGACGGCCCTGTAGCCTGTTCCACTCGCCCTTCCCACGGCTGTTACCAGCCTGCGGTCTGAGTTGCTGTGTGTTGCCAATCCCCCAAACTGTAGTGCCACTTCTCAGCCTTTTGTGTTCCCCCTCCCCTCCTCCCTGCCTGCGGGCACCCTCCTTTGGGAGACTCAGTGGTCCGCGTGGGTCTTACCTGCCCTCTGCGCTGCTCTGAGAGCCCTCGAGGGAAGGCGTGGAGGGCCGGGTGCTGGGGCACTCCCTGTCCTGGTCCCGATAGAGGGCCAGGAGCTCCCTCTTCTGTTGGACGTACTCCTCTGCTTTCAGCTTCTGTAGGGCGGCCTGGGGCAGGGATACTTTCATTATTAAGAGCTCTTATTTATTGAGCACTTGCTGTATGCTAGGCACCCTGCTAAATGCTTACATACATTATCTTATTTAATCTTCACAACAACCCTGTGAGGCAGACAGTTTTACTCCTGCTTTACTACTAAGAAATGGAGATTGGAAGGTTAAGTAACTGCCCCAGGGGTACTTCTTACCGTAAGAAAGTGGGGTGGTGCCAGGATTTGGTAGCATCAAACTCTAGAGCTGGTGTCAGGGCTGGGTGGGGTGAACAAAATGCTCCTTTTCCTACCCATACAGTTCTTGCTCCTCATGCCCCCTTGGCAAACCCTCTATCAGCTCTGCTCCCTCCTTCAGGAAGCCCTTGGAGATTGGTGGTGATGGTGGTGTAAGTTCTCTGAATTGGTACTGGGCCCTCAGGTCCCTCCTTCAAGAGCATCTCTCTCCTACCACCTGGGCCTCTGCCCTGAAGCTGGGAGGAGAGGAAGGCAGGTGGGCAGGAGCAGGCTTTGTCCTGGGCTGAGGACTCTGCTGTCCTTCCGAGGGATGAAAGCAATGCTATCCTTAGAAGGATGAGGAGAGGACACATTATATTGTCTGTTTTCCTCCCTCAACATCTTCATACAGGTGCCATCAGAATAAACTAGTGCCATCTGAGAAGTGCTTTTCAAAGCACCTTCACGTGCATGTGGTCATTGAATACACACCATTGCCCTGCAGTGTGCAAAGCACGGATCTTAGCCCACTTTACAGATGAGAAAACTACACTTAGAGTGATAAAGTGACGTGCTCACGCTCAAACAGGCAGAGAGAAGCAGAGCTGGGGCTGGGCCTTGATCTTTGAGCCCCAGTTCAGCAACCACCCTGCTTTTCAAGGGCAGCCTTGCAGGGCAAAGGGTTCCTGAAGGACAACAGCTTGGGGAGGGGAGGGAGGCAGGCGGCCCTGAAGGGCAAAGTGTTCCTGAAGGACATTAGCTTGGGGAGGGGGGGAGGCTGTGGAAGCGAGGAGAGGAGGTAGGCGGAGGCTTGGCAAGGGGAGGCAGTGGGGGCTGCTGAGGCGGCACTGTTACCGGTACTCACTGGTATGGCCGATCATTGTTAAAGTACTGAAATGCTTCCATGCTGGCCAGGACATGGCTGCTGCCTGGGCCTCTCCCTTCCCCACCATTCCTCCACCCCCACCCCGTAATCTAGCAACTAGAGGGCTGACTCCTGGCACAGCAGAAGACCTCTGGCACCCCGCCCCCGCACGGTGCTCCAATCTGACTGGCTGGTGCCCAGGCCGTCCTAGTTGTCACATATGTTTAACCTCTCTCCAGCTTGACGTATACCATCCAGCGACTCTTGGCACCTGGGCTTTCCCAGAGCCTCTCCAGAAACACTGGGGCAGCTGGGGCAGGACGACAGACGTGCTGGGGAAGTACGTGGACAGGCATAGGAGGATGACATCAGTCCCCCCTCCCAGGCTCTCCAGTCACTCACTTGTGAGTGGCGGTAGCATGAGGGTCCCTAGCAGCCTGGGAAGACGTGGTCTGTTGGGGAGCAGGGAGTGGAGCTGGGGGCAGGAAACCGCGGGCCAGGGCCAGGGCCAGGCCCCGACTGCCCTTCCCCAGGCTGCATCTCCCAGCTCAGTGTGAAGCAAGAAAGGGGGTGAGTAGCTGGAGTGGCCTGCTTGTCCTGCCAAGGTGCCCTGCCCCGTTGCCCCCCAGGGCCCAAGTGCAGCCTTGTGTTTGGGATGCCCAGGACCGGGCTACTGTGCGGAAGAAAAGAATGGGAAGGCCGAGGGGTTTCTGTGAGGGCCAGCAGTGCCAGCATCTCCACTAAACTTGTCACGTGCCGCCCTACCCAGGAGGGGACGGGGAGGTGGGGGGAGCCTTGTGCACCGGGGGCCTGTTTCAAGTGCCCCCCAGCTACCCCAAAGCCTCTCAGCAACCCTGGGGGGTATTCTCAGCTCCCATGGGTAAGGGGAGAGAGACACATGGGGGAGGACGCCAGGAAAGGCAGAGGAAATTGGTGCCTGAGCCGCAACACGATCCCCCCTTGAAGCTGGGAAGAGGAAGGGAGGCAGGATCCTTCTTCCTTTGTTTGGTGACAAGGAAATGCCTCCTCCTCCTGCTGTCCCTGGGGCAGTGCCCAGAGTCACTCACTGTCCCTGAAGAGCTCCCCAGTGCTGGACTAAAACTGATCTCTAAAAGGTGCCCACTGACTGCCTGAGCGACAGACGCCATGCCTTTCCCCAGTCAGCCTTGGGCCCCACCCAGGCACCAGGGGCCATTCGGTCCAATGATGACAACAACAAACATTTATGGGGTGTCCCTGAAATGCTAGGCGTTGTGCCAAGCCGTTTACAAACACTGTCCTCCCGTCTGTCTGACGTGGTAGTTACCCTCTGCACCGCAATTCCCCAGACCAAGGCCAGACTCAGAGAAGGGAAGTAACTCGGAATGGATTACATGGGCCACAGCCCCAGGCCCAGCTCCTGGCTCTTACTCTGGGCTGCCCGCAGAAGGCTCTCCTGCATTAATGTCTTGGCTTTCGTCCCTGACAGTTCTTTCTGTTCCCATCACCGGTTCCTTTTCCTCTTCCCAGCCGGCACACATGGGCATTCCCCAAGATTCAGTCTCTTCCCCTTTGAGAAGCCCATTTTCTCTGAAAGAGCAAGCCAGGGCAGCTAGACCCACCAGGAACAAATCTACAAGGCAGCATTTCTGCAGAGGGAGAAAACAATGGTCTGACCCCTGGGGACTGCTCTATGGAGGGGACAGTAGATATGACTGATGGTGCGACAGAGAAGATCCCCTAAGCATGTGGTATGAGCCAATGGCAGGAAAACTAATTGCAGTCTCAGGCCTCTTTGTTTTGCTGGCCGGGGAGCCTTGTGCGCATCTTGGTTATAGATCCGTAGGGACCTTTCCTGTTCGCCTGGAGCGAGACGGGGGTTGTGCTA